AATCTAGCATGTGAGTTTTGGAGAGAAGTGAAAATTGAATGTTTTGTAGTCAGGAGGAATGAGAGTATAGAGAGAAAAAGAAAAAGAAAAAATGATTCATGTTTTTTTTAAAACATTATTTAAAATGATAAATGAACACTTAAATGGAAAGTAAATGTTGTCTAAATTTTATAAACACTACACACCTACACATGTATTTTTAAATATTTTGAAACTGAGTTCACCGCTTAACACCCGATAAAAATAAAGTAATAGAGTTTGTAATAAAGAGAACTCAAATGATACAATTAGACAATTAGGAACAAATTATATAAAAGTGAAATTTCTAACTCACTCCTTTATGTTTGAGCTCAAATGAGCCTGAAACGTGGATGATGTGATTGGAGAGTGGTCATAATGTATTGAACCTGTTTTTTCTACTATATAAAGGAGTTTTGTGTACTCTTTCAAAATATAAATTTTTATGATTTCACACTTTTCACTTCTCTCACTCTCTTCCCATAATTTTTTGTATTAATTATTCATTATTTTAGTGGTGAGAGAGCATATATTAAGAGTTGTGTATTTCCTATTTTTAATTATATTGAGTTGTAATTATATTTCAAGAACATAGTTCTCTTGTATCTTTGTAATTGGCATTAATGTTGCAAGTTATATACATGTGAAAAAACTTAGTGTAAGGAAATTTGTTGTGTTGATATTGGTGTAAAAGTTTAATTTGTTTATTGAAAATCTCAAAGAAAAAACTCTTCGGAACTAGATTACCCCACATGGATTAAAGTCAAACTAGTATAATCCTTATGTGATCTTTCTATCTCAATTTTTTTCTCATTTTGTAAAATCAACAAACCTTAAAATCAATTATTTGCAAAAAAAAAATTCAAATTCAAATAATACAATTCACTTCACCCCTCTTGTGTTTGAAATCACTTAGTTGATAAGTTGAATCAGAGTCTAACTTCTATTATAGACTAATCATCTCATGAGGTAAGAATGATTTCAAACGATTCAGTAAAGAAACCCCATCCTTTAATGGACAGGAGGATGCTTATCGGAAAGGAAAGAGAAAAATCTTTACGGAGGAGATGCATTGTGATATCTGGGTCATTGTAAAAAAAAATATTCTTTTGCTTCTATGTGTCTAATTGGTGGTGTTGTGGAAAATAAACATAGAGAAATTTGGACTAAAGAGTACAAGAAAAATGTACATTATAGTTTCAAAGAAAAAACTATTATCACTATCGCTCTCAGTATGGATAATTTATTTATCTTTTTCATTGTAATTTTGCACACATAAAATATGGGACACTCTTGAAATTACCCATAAAGGTACAATCGAGGTAAAAAATAGGATAGAATGAACACATTGACCCATGAATATTAATTGTTTAGAATGAAACATGAGAAAAATATTCAAGACATAGAAAAATATTTTATTCATATTTTAAATTACTTGAGAACTCTGGCAAAAAAAATTTAATGAAGATTTAATTAATAGAGTTTTTAGATGCCTAAATCATGTCTGACAACCTAAAATCACGACAATTTATGAATCTAAAAAATTATCTTCTATTGATTTGATTACATTGTTTAAAAAATTTCAAGAACAAGAAATAGAACTAAAAGGGTCATTGAGAATGAAGAAGATGATAAAAAAAGAAAAATTGTCCACTTGAGATTGAGGAAGACATTCAAAAAGTGATGAAGACATTAATTTGTTAGTCGAAAAGTTTAATAATTTCATAAGGAATAACAAGCAATCACAAAACTTTCAACACAAAAATGAGGAAAGATCTTCTTTTTGTGGAGACCTGCTTCTAGTGTGAAAAGAAATGTCATATAAAGTCAAATTGCCCTCAAAGCCATAAAAGAGATTAAAAAAAATTCAAGAGACCTCAAAAAGAAACAAAGAAGACATGCATATGGATGACAATCATATACTCTATGGATGAATTAGAAAAGAAGGAAGAAAGAAATAAAAAACATTGTTTTTGTCTCTAAAATTTAGGTAACGAGTCAAGTAAACTAAAAAAAATATTTTTTTTTGTCTCTAAGTTAACTATTTCTTCTCTTGAAAAATAAAATAAAAATTTGTTGGAGGAAATAGTCAATCGTAAAGAAAAACAAAGTCTTTTAATTTAAAACTTTTCTTCCCTTTTTTCTTCTTCTTATAAAAACTCTTGTGAATCCATCAAGTATGCAAAATGAAACCTTTTAGAAAATAAAATTGATGAATTGCATAACAAACTTGATAATTTGACCAAATAGATAGATAACTTGAATCTCGGAAAATCAAAGAAAAACTTATAATAAATTTGGTCTAAGCTATAAACTGAAAAACAATTTTAATAGTTTTAGTAATATTTCCCATTAGAATAAGACCTCTAAATATAATATGCCTAAATGTAACTATTATGGTAAAAATTGTCATATTGCTTTATCGCTCTTAATTATAAAAAGTCATGAAAAGATGTTTCTTCTTCATCTAATTTCTATGGGCAAACACATGAATTAAAATGAGAAATACTTCTTCATTGTCTTACACTTATGATCGTAATTTTAATTAAAAAGTTAGAGATAATTCACATTAGACTAATGTTAAAGAACCAAAAATGATATGAATATCTAAGTTTAAGAATTAAGTTCATAATGCATGTATGTTTTACAATATCTAACTCTAAATGGTATTTTAATAATGGTTCTTCAAATCATATGACTAGAGATAAATATTTGTTTTCTTCTTTCACACCCTAAAAAGAAAGTATTTGTTTTATATGGTGATAATAATAAAGGAAGAATCATATATTTAGGTATTATTGGTAAGTATCCTAATCCAACTATTGGGGATGTCATTTTAGTTGAAGGGATGTCATTTTAGCTAGCTAGGATAAGGCAAATTAAATAAGTTTTATAAAAACTCATAACACACATAACAGTTTTTTCAAACTTTTAATCAAAATGGGTGCATTCTGCGAAGGACAATCACTCGCGATGCTCAAAGGTTAAAAAGTTTCAAGGAGAAACCCCTCTGGTCTCTATCACTCTAAATCTTTGCTTTCTTAATGTCAAAATTAATCGGGCCAATAAATGATGCCAAAAGTTACCTCTCGCGACATCCAAATTAAAATGTTGAATTATTTAAATGCTTAGATTTATCCCTTGCAATGCATAATATAAAATTTTGAATTTTCCTCCTTCAAACTCACGAGGGGTTACCCTTTGTATATTTGTTTTTTTAAGAACTTGACATTGCAAAGGATTTTAACCCTATCAAAGTTACTTTTTATGCAAGGGGTCTTACTCCTGACATAAACCCTAGACAATAAAACATGTTTTTTGTAGTGTTGATTAGAAAGTGTCCTGACCAATTAGAAAAGTAAAGTATCAATGTCCAATCGATTAGAACTTGTATCTAATTGATTAAGGAGTGAGCTCGCCACCTAATGGATTAGGAACCTTTTAATCAATTAGGGCGTGAACATGGCTTAAGTGTTTTCTTATTTGCCAGGTCTAAGATATTAGTATCGCATGCTAATTGATTAGAGAACGACCAAATTTTAAGAATTATTTTCTTTTTTAGCCAGTTTCTTTTAATCTAAAAGAGTATTGTGAACTCTTCCAAAGCAATAATTTTTTAATTTCACATTCTTCTCTCACTCTCTTTCTAGAAACTATTTTTATTCATTGTACATTACTTTAGTATTGAGATAATGAAAGACTTATAATGAGAGTTGTGTATTTCATATGTTTAATCATATTTAATTATAATTGTAATTCAAGCACATAGTTTTCGCGTATATTTATGATTGACATTGAGGTTTCAAGGTAAATCTATGAAAAGTTTGGTGTAAGAAAGGTTGTTGGGATGATTCGAATTTAAAAGCTCAGACTATTTAAAATAAGTCTTAAGGGAAAACTCTTAAGGAATAGATTAGGTGACATGGTTTAAGGTAAAACCAATATAAATTCTGGTGCAATTTTTCTATCTCTTTCTTTTACATTTTCATTGCTTTATCTTTTCTTCTCATTTCGTAAAATCAACCAACCATAAAATTAATCGTTTGCAATAACTTTTTTAAAAATCAAATAACACAATTCATCTCCTCTCAAATTTGAAATCACATTGTCAACAACCACCTAATTAAAAAATATTTTATATTCATTTATAATATTCATTTTCATCAATACAATATAAACTTTTGAGCTTTTCCTCCTTTCTTTCTATGGATATCATGTTTCATAGCACTTTATTTGACAATTCGAAGTGGTCAAGAACAATTAACTTATTTTGTAACAACTATGTGCTTTTTTTCTTTGTTAGATTATCTTTTTGTTTCTTTGTTAGAAGTTATGTATTTTGTGAGAATTGGTTTTTTTCTTAACTTTTATAGTTTGTGATTTGGGTACTTCAGCTCCTTTGTATTGAAAAAATATTCTCTTTGATTGTTATATTTTTTTTTTTTGACAAAATTGTTAAATATTTTTTAATAGTATCTTTTTGTTAAGATTATTTATATCCGTCCAAAGTCTAATAAATTTTATGATCCGTTAACTTAATTATTAATTTTATATGGATATTTTATTTAACAATGTTACATAAAATTAGGTATGTATAAGTTAAATCTGTTAGATGAACGGACCTAGACTTAGTAAACCTGCTTTTTATTTTACATTTATGATAAATATAAATCCATGAATATATTAAATAATATTTTAATGATTATTTTAAGAAATAACCGATTTATCATATAAATAATTTAAAAATATTTTTGTGATTGGAAATTTGGAATAAAGATCCTATTTTGTCATATTTTTGTAATGCCTATGTCATCTAATTGGAGTTTGGATTAAGTTTCATTGTTCCATTCCAACATCGCTTTTGCCACTCACAGTTTCAAACCATTTCCAAGGTACTTTCAAATCGATTTTTTTGCTTTTTCATGTGGCTTCTGTCAGTTTTATTTGAATTGATTTTCTCATTCTTAGGCTGAGGAGAGACTATGGCCACTAGGTTTCCAGGAGTTGGCAATGAATTGCAGAAGATTTTGGATGCTAATATGGATCATGTTTCTGCTAGAAGACTAGCTCGTCACTCCTTCAAGGATATTCAGCTTGGGATTCATCACATACTCTTTAAGGTATCTATCTATTCTATACTCACTTCTCTTCCTTGTGCTTAGTTAGCTTTGTTTTAGTGTTGAATACTATAAGCTATTAAGCATTGACTTTGATTTTGGATTTCAATGAGACAAGGCTCCTAAGCAATACACAAGTCACTCTTAAGTTTTTGGGTTTGTCACATAGGAGTCCTATTTAGCCATGGTTTAACCGTGTCAAATTTTAGGCCATGTGCGGTAGCCTGGTTTGCACGTCATCAAAGACGGTCCTGTGTATACATGGTTCGGCATCTCTTGCCCGCATCCATATAAACGCGTTAACAAATATATTCCCTATCTCAGATTAGATTACTTCCTCTAAGTATTAAGTCAATTCCTTTATGCTTTGCAGACTCGATGTGACGGACTAAAAATGAAGGAGGTATGAATTCTCTCATCTGAAATTATTTTCATAAAACTTTTGTGTTAAAAATGAGAATTTTCTTATAAAGAGCTTGGCTTATGCTATATTTGATTCCACCATGACTCTTGCTTTCTCACATCCCTATGTCGTATGACCGATGCTTTCTCATCCTTTTCTGATTTTGCATCACTTGATCTGTTGCAACAGGCATACGAGGTTAACTCAAAGGGCGTTGAAATCTTCTACAAGAGTTGGCTTCCTGGAACTGCGAGGCCGAAAGCAGCTGTGTTTTACTGCCATGGTTATGGAGACACTTGCACCTTTTTCTTTGAAGGCATGTAGTAGCTGCTGTGTTTTGGTTGCAACAAGTAACTAAATATTTACAGTGTCAATTACTGACTTGGTCGACTTGGTCAACTTGATTGTTTCTGCAGGAATAGCAAGAAAACTGGCTAGTGCCGGATATGGAGTTTTTGCTATGGACTATCCAGGATTTGGTCTTTCAGAAGGTCTTCATTGCTATATTCCTAGTTTTGATTCGCTAGTTGATGATGTCGTCGAGCTTTACTCCAAAATCAAAGGTATCTAAATTCGCATAGAACTGTGTCTTGAATGTAGTTAACACCATGTCGACATTGAACACTGCAAATCTTCTGTGATAGAATCAGTTTCTTGTCGGGAAGGGTAGTTTAATAGCGTGTCATGGTGACACGAGGTCAAGAAATGTAGTCCTGATGAGTATCTCCCTCAGTCAATATAACTCGCACCGGTTCAATACAAATATTTCCTTACAAAAGTTTTGGTTTGATCTGTTGCAGAAAATCCAGAATTCCGTTCTCTTCCAAGCTTCCTTTTCGGACAATCCATGGGAGGAGCGGTTGCTTTAAAGATGCACCTTAAACAACCTAAGGCATGGGATGGCGCCGTTCTTGTTGCACCTATGTGTAAAGTAAATTTTCCTTAAACAAATTCATGTTAAGAGTTTCGGTGGAATTTTTTACGATCTTCTTTTAACCGGATACTCTATTTATATAGATTGCAGATGACATGGTTCCGCCAAAGTTGCTAGCTCAGATTCTTATCGGCATCGCCAATATTCTACCAAAGCAAAAGTTAGTTCCACAGAAGAATTTAGCAGTGGCAGCATTCAGAGATCTGAAGAAGAGAGAAATGGTTCGCGTATCTTAACAATCTTTGCATTCAGTTTTTCTCAGCAATTCGTGTGTTGGCGAATAATCATAGTTTTCTGATATCTCTGTGCAGACAGCTTATAATGTTATTGCGTACAAAGATAAACCGCGTTTGTGGACTGCTGTCGAGATGCTTAAAACGACTCAAGAAATTGAACGGAGATTGGAAGAAGTATCCTTGCCATTGTTAATCCTTCATGGAGAGGCTGATATTGTGACGGATCCGTCGGTGAGCAAAACATTTTATGAGAAAGCTAGCAGCTCAGACAAGAAGCTAAAACTTTACAAAGATGCTTATCATTCTCTTCTTGAGGGGGAGCCTGATGAAATGATAATCCAAGTTTTTAGTGATATTGTTTTATGGCTTGATGAACACAGCTTGAAACATTCTTCATCTTCTGATAAATAGTTTATTTTCTGTGTATTTTATGAATATTGAGATTGTTTTTTAAATGGAGAAAAGGAAGGTTTCTATTGTTTGTATAGAAGTTTTTGTTAAATAACAGTAATAATTTAGAGAGCAGAAAAGTATTGCATTATATTTTGCTGTCTATTATAGTCTTTTCTCTTTCAAAAATTTCACAGTTGCGCGCAAATAATACCTAATTAATACCAAAACAAAGTTAGTAAAATAATTTCTATCATCAATGACATATTAAAAAAAAATTCATTGTAATTATAACTATTTTACTATATGATCATTCTTTGATTTATTGTGATTATAGTGTAACACATCAATACAACAAATATACATTTAACTACATTCAATACCTATTGTTTTTTTTTATTTTTAATTATTATCAATATCTAGTATCAATAATTCTAGTTTTTTCTTTTCCATTTTTATTAATAATTTAAATACATTAATTATTCAATAAATTTAATTTTTTTTTTTCTATTTTCTAATTAAAAATATTGTGTTTGGTGTATTATTAGATAGTTCACACACATGGAGGCTTTAGAAAAGACCAAAGAAATGATAGTGGAAATTTGAAAAGCTGTTCTTCCAATATTAGCCAACTACAACTATTACCCATTTTTACTTTTTCATATATATATGAAGAAGTGGCCATTGTTGTTGAATCTGTTATTCACTATCCTTGTTTTGCTTCAGCCATGTCTTTCTCTTCTTGCTATTCCCATTTACCTTTAGCATTTAGTAAGGTACGCTTTTTCTGTTTTCATGTTTTTTCAGTTATTTGCATGCTTTGTAATCTTATCTGCATTTTTCTTGTTTTTTGGAGGATTTTTTGTACCCTTTTAATTTTCTTCAAATGGGGTTTCTGTTTGAACTATAAAGTTTTGAACTTTGACTGTATATATCTGAAATTGAAAATTGTTTGCCTTCTGTCATTGATTTGAATCACCAATGCATTACTAATCAAATAGTAATTTGAGTTTTTTTTTTTTTTTTTTTTTTTGTGAATTCTTATATTTAATAGATCTGTAGCTAGGTGTATGTTGGTATGGTGATGATAAATTATGTAGAACAACACTTCAGATTGATGGTGTGATGGTGTGTCTGGCATTGAACTATGTGGCGGATACCGATAGAACACTGACACACATAGATACACTCTATCATAGTTTTTAAAAATTTCTTATCAATGTCTTCGTATTAGAGTCTGTGTTCAGTGTCTGTGTTGGTGCTTCTTAGGTAGGAAAATGGAGTTTATATTTCAAAAGCTGGCACTCTAGTGTCAATAAACTAACTTATGCAGCATTGACACTTCCAATTAAAGGTGTCTACATATTTGGTATGTGCCCGTATTTGTCCGTGTCTGGCACCAACACTTCATTGACACGTATAGTTACATTGAATTATTTTATTTTCTCAAATTATGATTGGTGTCAACATATCACTATCGTATCTGATGTTCATGTCTGTGTGTCTGTGCTTCGTAAAAAAACCTAGGATGTTTTCGTGAGCTCAGGAAATTTTATTCTCTTTCTATTCTAATTGATTGATCATCACTTGGGGCAGGATATAAAACTCTGTAGGACAGTTGGACAAGAGAAGCTGAATTTTCCTTTCTCTATCAGGAGTAATGGCGTTGAGCTGTGCACCCGATGCATTTCGAGAAGGAGAAGTAGAGTCGGCTTAAGTGGAGATTGGAGTTTCATAGGAGGGTCCAAAATTGTTGTAAAACCTAAAGCTACAACATCGTTTTGCAATCCAAAAAGAAGTCAAATACATGCTTCATGTAATAATCTCTTCTCGTGCTACTTGTTCATCTAATCCGGAATTGACGCAAGCTGGTTTCTTGACAATATTTTTTCTGTATATTCATTGTTCGAGCTCGATGTTTCAGGGTTCGTAGGATCTCAACTTGCTAGCACTGTATTCACATGGGGAACAATCGCGGTGCTCCCGTATTATACACTTATGGTTTTCGCCCCGAAATCCGAGCTAGTACGTTTGATTAGTGAATGCAATTCACTTCATTAACAAAATAACATATTCAGATATTCTTGTTTTTCATTTCATTTATTTGGTTATGATTCTGGTAACCTGATTCATTTTTCTGAAATACGAAATTACAGACCAAAAAGTCTATGGAGAGTAATTTACCGTGTGTAGTCCTCGGCGTTCTATACGCTTACTTACTGTACCTTTCTTGGACACCTGAAACGGTTCGATTGATTTTCGCTAGTAAATACTTACTACCTGAGGTTAGTATTCGTTCATTCATCGATGAAGTTCGGTTTTCTTTCTCTAATGAGTTCTATTATCTAATTCATAACTGCTTCATATTTGCTTACTCCATAATGCAGCTTAGTAGCATTGGAAAAATGTTCTCCAGTGAGTTGACTTTAGCCTCTGCTTGGATTCACCTTTTGGTTGTTGATCTTTTTGCTGCTAGGTCCTGCATTTTATCTTCCTTTTTGTGTTCAGATTTGATATTTTGACACAAATTCGACAGCAAAAATCGACCAGAATTTGGATTAATGTCGTTCAAATATATGGTTTACTCACGTTCAGTGATTGGTCAATGAATACAAGTCTAAATTAATCGTGTATTTGAGTCGCATTAACTCTAAATTGTTGTCGAATTTTGTGTAAAAATAACACAACTGTTACTCATTCTTTAGCTATTTTTCTGATAGTATTTTGTGGTACGAAATTCAGGCACATTTTCCGCGATGGAATTCAGAATGAGATTGAAACTCGGCATTCGGTTTCCTTTTGCTTGTTCTTTTGCCCTATTGGGATTCTTACTCATGTCATCACCAAAGCAATGACCAAAACTACAAGAACAGAGAGTCATGATTTATAGATGTCACCTGCTGCAACTGAAGAAAACAAGTATATTGTTTGGAGATAAAGAATTTGCGAATGTCAATTGTCATGTTTGAGTCGAAGTTGCATGTAATTTCATTGGAACAGTCAAAATTTTACTTGATTAGCTGTTTGTTCTATCTCAACTGTATCTAGCTAGACGGAGAGTGAAATACTTCTATTATCAATGTTATAACAAATCAAATCGAACTAGACTGTACAATTTGGTTATTTGAATGACTCAGTTGCAGTTTTTTTTCGGTTCGAATGGTTTAAATCAGTTCAATTGTATTTCAAATGTCTCACCAATTCAATGAAAGTTCTGGTTATTAAAACATTGGTTTCAACATTACTTCAGCTGCAAAAAGAATCATTCAAACTATGGAGAGAAAACTGAAGAGCATCTAAAAATAGACTAATTATATTACAAAAAAGAGATGTTATGTTATGTAATGTGTTATCATTCATTAAACAATATTCCATACATTATCCAATAAACTAATTAAAAACTAATTGCAGAATCATACAGTACAAAGATAACATCACTCAAACATTTAAAACATATTTCAAAAGCTAAGTAAACTTAGTTTTCTTAGACTTTACTTGAGGCTTCTTAGCATCCTCATCATCATCGTCTGAAGAAGCTTCTAACGACTCGTCGGGAACATCTTGAGGAACATTATGCTTTGTTATGAAATCCTTCAATACAGCCATGCTTTGCTCTTTCAGGTTAACTAATTGCTCTGATAACAAAGAGCCATTGGTTGCCTGAACAGAATATGATTCTGCACCGAGGCGAAATGTGGCATTAACCTGAGGTCTTGGAAGCACTGAATTGCATGATTCGGTTTCCATCTCTGTATTTTGAATAGTTAAAGAAACAAATAAGACAGTAAATTGCTTCATTACTTAAGATTAGCACTGATTACTGATGTATGATGATACAAATCAAAGACAACATAACAAAGTAAATATTATTGGCTCAAAGAGGAGAGCTATAAAGCGTTGACACAGACACGACACTGACATTTACACATCAATACTAATAATAGCTTAACAATGGCCCAATTTGGATTACCTTCAAACTCTGGGGCTTCTCAACTGAGAAAGCCAGAAAGGTATTTGTTTCTTAACTAATGAAAAAAAACGCTTCAAAAGAATTTCATAACTACATTAAAACTTAACTTTTCTACAGTAGTGCTTGTTTATAAGTGCTTATTGAAAACTTTAAGCTGCAACTGCATAGAAGGAAGACATAAGGTTTCATTTGAATGCATTACTAACCAATAGAACCAAACAAATGAACGAATTAAGTCCAACGAATTAACTATCACGGCCCCGTTTAGATAAACAGCTTAATTAAAGATATAAACTATTAGTGATTTTAATAAACTATCGCGGAATAGTAATGAAAATATGCTGAAAATAGCTTAGTTTAGTTTAGGGGCATGTCATAAGTTACTGGTGTAACCTCTATCAAACAGTATCCCAACAAGTGCTTATGCCACTACATAAACTCAATCAACCAATCCAAATTGGTCCTAACATATGAAGTCCGAACACTAACGCATCGACACTAGTAGTAATTTAAAATAAAAATGAATAAACTAAACGTAATCGGTGTTAGTTTTGGACACCAACTTTGACACACATTTTTTCACAAATGTGGATGCTACATAAATCATAACAAACTATCAAGAAGCTCAAATGCTCAAACATTAAGCTAAACTCAACCCAATATCCTCAAACATACACAGTTTAAAGTTAAGCACAATTTCTGATACTAAAAATCACAGAGACATTTCATCAAACAGTTAATAGCTACAAATAGTAATAACAACAAAAAACACGTTCCCTGTTTCCAGTAGCAGAACCAAAACCAACCAAGGAGCGTAATTGTATGCCTAGAATATCAAGATGTTCAAACAAAAGCACACATAATTGAAAGCAAAACTCATCGAAATGAAAAAACGGTGAATAAAAGCAAAAGGTATTGTCGTTTATTACCTTTGACTCAGAATCAATTCAAGTGGCGATAGAACGACAGAATTCGGTTCCCTTTTGTGGTAACTGGATGAGTCTCATAGTTTACAACAATCTGTCTCTCGGCCCATTTAACCTAATTTTGTTTTTGACCCTTTAAATATATTAAAATTTGTTTTTGACCCTCTCAAAATATTTCTTTACGACTTTGATCTCGTTAAGTTTTCGTCCATAATAATGATTCTACTAATGGAAGCTGACTTGGTGGAGGGTAGGATATGAGTTTTTTGCACAGTTAACAATGACAAGGGTGGTGATTAATCTCCCATGTGAAAAATCGTATATTTTTTAATAAATTAATTTGAAATTTTACTGGTTTACTAGTTAATTAAAAATATATCTTTTGGATATAGCTAAATTTTAATTATTTATTTCTATTGTTATATTTTAAATATTTATTTTATAAATAATTAATTTGATAAATTATTCATATTATAATTTTATAATTATTTGTGTACTCGTTATATTATGATAGTTTTATATAAATTAATTGAATTTAGTAAATAATGTTAAGTGTCAATATTTTATTTTTTTTAAATATAATGGTACTTTAATTTAGTGATTTAAGAAATATTCTTTTAATTATGAATAAATTTAATAAATAAAATAAATAAATAAGTATGTGCTATGGTAATTGAATTTATTATTTTATTTAGGAAAATAATTTATTAAACTTAATTTTATTATAAATTCAAAGAAGTGTTTTATTATTATTATTATTATTATTATTATTATTATTATTATTATTATTATTATTGTTATTGTTGTTGTTATAATAATAATAATAATAATTATTATTATTATTACTATTATTATTATTATTATTATTATTATTATTATTATTATTATTATTATTATTATTATTAATAAATATTATTATTATTATTATTATTATTATTATTATTATTATTGAAAATTTTAGTGATTATATCATACACTCACTAACTTTCAACATGCGTAATTCTTAACTTCCTATTTGCCATTTTCTTGCCATAAAATGTGGAGTCAAATTCTCTCATAATACCATAAATACTTATTCCACAAAATAAGCCTTATATCAACTACTATACCTATTTTAACCATACAAGAAACTCCGTCCTATTAAGTAAATCACACGGTTTACTCTTTTCTAAATCCGATTCATCATTTTCTATCGTTTAACCTCACAAACTATACGGGTCATGTATTATCCTCAATTGCAACAATTTTTCTTCCAACCGCTCTGTCACCATTTTTGGGTTAAAGAAACTTCATATATAACTACTTTCCATCATTTGATTTTGTGTTATTTCATAAATTTCAATTCTTACTCGAATCATGAATAATAGTTTGATATAGTGCGTTGTGTTTTATTTGTGTTATTTCATAAATTTCAATCCTTGCTCGAATCATGAATAATAGTTTGATATATTGTGTTGTGTTTTATCTATGGATGAAGCTTTGTTATGATTGTGATGGAAAAGAATCTTTAGTTCGTGGGTGATTGTCATTGTTATGTGTGGTTGTGATGTGAAAATTTTGTTTACTACAAAGATTTTAAGCAAATTGGTAATGCTTTACTCAAATCAAGTGTTACAAAATCTATGTTTACTGCATGGTTTGAGGCAAACAAAAAATATGATGAAGCTAAATTGTTGGCATATAGTGACTTTGTGACAAAATTTGTTTACCAAAAGAAAACTAGGACTTGGAAGCCTAAGAAAAGAGACTATACAATTGGTCGTCTTATTTGGGTTCCTCAAAGTACAGGTGAATTATTTTATTTATGGATGATGCTTACGGTCAAGAAAGGACCAATAAGTTATGAAGACATTAAAAAGGTCGATGATTTCCAACATAAATCTTTTCGAGAAACATGTTTTGCTATGAGATTTCTACAAGATGATAGAGAATTTATTGAAGCGTTAAAGGAGGTGCATGTATGGGGTTCTGGTGTTTATTTACGGAAGTTATTTGTTACTATGTTTCTATCATCATCAATGAGTAGACTTGAACATGTTTGGAGTAAAACATGACACTACTTAGCTGATGGAATTCTTTATGAAAAACATGTTATAACAAGAAATTCAGGTACACTCTCTATACATTTTACTTTATATGTTTTTATTCACAATTTAATTATTTTATTTACGGTGTTTTGTTTTATCTATGTTAGGATTAACACTTACAGATGAAGAATTAAAACAGCTTACCCTGATTGCAATAAAAACTCAGTTACAAAAGAACAATAGAAGTCTAGAGGATTTTAAGTCAATTCCATATCCAAATGAATTTGTAGTTTCTTTTGATGGAAATCGACTGATTTATGAAGAAACGCAGAATGATCCAAATGCTCAAAAATATCTTTTTGATATTTTGTTCTCATCTCTTACAGGTACAATGACCTTTTTAAACTATATATTTAACAAATTAATTTCATGTTTATATTTATTATATTGATAAATACAAGACATATTGTTTATAGCTCATATTGTTTATAGCTTATTCATGTAATGCCATTAATTGTAGTCAACACTTTATAATAATTAAATATAATGGATCTTAGGTCATAAATGCTAATTTCAAAATTGTATTTCAAAGTGGCATGTCTAAACATATTGTCACATGATTTATTTTCGTAGGTGAGTAGAAAGACATTTACTTTGAAGTCATGGATGTCGTAGACAAACAAAATGATGGTGTGTTTTTTTTATATGGCTATGGTGGAACAGGTAAAACATTTATGTGGAACACTTTGCCTGCCGCTCTTCGTTCTAAATGTAAAGTTGTATTGCCTATTGCATCAAGTGGGATTGCAAGTTTGTTGTTACCAGGTGGATGAACAACTCATTCTAGGTTTAAGATACATGTCCCTACTTTGTATTTTTCAATTTGCAACATTGAGAAAAAAGATAAAATTGCTGAGCTTTTAAAGTTGACAGATTTTATTATATGGGATGAGGTTCCAATGGCTAACAAGTTTTTCTTTAAGGCTCTTGATAAATCTTTGAAAGACATTATGAGTGAAATTCCACAAGCTGCATATAAATTATTTGGAGGCAAAATAGTTATTTTTGATGGTGATTCTAGACAAATTCTTCCCGTTGTACCAAGAGATAGTAGATCTGATAATATTCATTCAACAATTAATGCTTTTTATATTTGGGATCAAAGCAGAGTTCTCAGGCTTACAAAAAACATGTGCCTATAATGTGAGACAACTTCACAAGACAAAGAGGAAGTTTGACTATTTTCAGAGTGGATTTTAGATATTGGAGATTGTACCATGGGTGAGGCTAATGATGGTTATGTTGAAATTTCTATTCCTGAAGAGTTTCTAATTTCAAAATTTTCACATCCTACTGAGCCTATTGTTGATAGTACATATCCCGATCTCATTTATAACTTCCATGATCCTAACAATTGAAGTTGTCGATGAGATTAACCAATACATCACATATCTTCTTCCAGGTACTATACATGTTGTGAAGTTGTTTTAATGCTAATATTATATTTTACTTTATATTTATATTTTTTTTTATATTTTAGGAGAAGAAAAGGAATACTTAAATAGTGATTCAATTAATAGATCAACATCAACCGACTTTGATGCATTTAAGCACTTGACTCCTGAATTTTTGAATGCTCTTAAAACTTCTGAATTGTCTAATCATTCAATCAAGTTAAAGATTAGTGCCACTATTATGTTGATGCGAAACTTAGATCAGTTTGAAGGCTTATGCAATGGTACAAAACTCACTGTTACAAGATTGGTTAATCATGTTATTAAAGCTAAGATCATTTCAAAAAAGAACATAGGTAACATCATTTCTATTCTAAGAATGTCTTTGTCCCCTGTCAATCACCATGACCATTTAAGTTAGTGAGAAGACAATTCCCATTACTGTTTCTTTCGCTATAACAATTAACAAATCACAAGAACAATCTTTCGACAATGGCCATTTAAGTTTTCTATAACAATAATTGATAAAATTGTTATTTAATTGATTTTTTTTATTTACAGCTGGGTATTATGCTATCAACTAGCTATTTGTGTTATGTCATATTTAAATTGGTGATGAACCTATATAGGTAAAAGTTAGAAGAAGAAGAAGCAACAGAATCAGTTGAGCCATGGCAATGACAATGGGTATCTGTGTCTCTTCCATTTTCAAAGTTTGTTATTATAGCCATAATAGGGCAGTAACAGTATCGGCGCAGAAGATGAGTGTCCCTTACAATCTGAAGGAAGGGCAATCTCGTATTTTCCACGAACTCCCTTCAGGGTTGAACATGGAAGTCATTGTCCAGAAGAAGAAGAAAAGTAGAAATGTTGTTGAAGATGGAAATCATTACAATCCACCTCTGGTATTTCTTCATGGAAGCTATCACGCTGCTTGGTGTTGGGCTCAACATTGGTTGCCATTCTTTTCTCAATCTGGCCACGACTGCTATGCTCTCTCCTTGCTTGGACAGGTTCCACTCTTTTTCCCCGCAATTAGGCAAAAACAATTCTAGAGTTGTAGAATTGGTTTTGGAATTGATTATACTTATGTATGTGCAGGGAGAAAGCGATGAACCAGTTGATACAGTTGCTGGTACACTTCAGGTAGAGTGCCTCTCTCTTTTTGTTAGTTTAGAATTATGCAAATACTCTTATGTTTTCCTTTTTGTACCATTTTCTGCAGTAGACACATGCAAGAGATGTTGCTGATTTTATTCATCGAAACATTCAATCGCCACCAGTATTACTCGGACATTCATTTGGAGGACTTATTATTCAGTGTTATATTTCAAATTTAGGAAATGACATACTCAAAGGTACTTATAACTTCATGTTGAGATTGATTCTACAAGTTTCATCACACATACGCGCGCACGTGTATGGTCATTTTTCGTTTTTGGTTTGTTATGCTAATTCTCTTTGAGCTTGATTCTATAATAGAGAATTTATATCCGGAGCTAATCGGAGCTGTCCTTGTTTGTTCTGTCCCTCCTTCTGGTAACAGGTAACTAACCAAAATTTCTAGTGTTGGACTATTGTTAGTTTTCAAGATATGGAAAGATGAAGAACCATAAAATATTGCGAATTTTTTTCTTTATTTTTGTTAGTGGACTAGTATGGCGATATCTCTTTTCGAAGCCAGTCGCTGCCTTCAAGGTATTTGAATCGGTTTTTCTGTATAATGTGAATGTTTCTTTGTTTATCTTCTTATATGCGTGTATCACCGTTTGGCAGGTTACATACAGCTTGGCAGCAAAAGGTTTTCAAAGCTCTCTTTCTCTTTGCAAGGAGACATTTTTCTCAGACACAATGGAGGATCATGTTGTTAAAAGGTTCATTTTATCTTGTTGCAATTTGACTTGAAAAGACGATGCTTAGTGATTTGTGTTGGTTTTGAAGCTTATTGAAGGAACAAAGCCTGTGTTTTTTGTTTTTAACATTTCAGATATCAAGAACTAATGAAAGAAAGTTCGCGGATGCCATTGTTTGATTTAAGAAAACTGAATGCTTCACTTCCAGTTCCTTCAGTTCCAAACTCATCTCTTAAAGTTCTTGTTTTGGGTGCAAACAATGACTTCATCGTGGTAAGCTCTATTTCGTATAAATGATGAAATATGTAATAGAAATGTTATTTGAACATCAATTTGAGAAACCAATATTCAAGCATGTAGCAAGATGTATCTAACATCTATTGATATCGGAGACTAGACACTGATACTTAGGACCATCTTTGAGGGCGTGCAAGATAGGCTACAACACGGCGTCCATAATTTATCACAGTTAAACTGTCATTGTTAAATTGTGAATAACTTACACAGTGTCTCCAAAAACTTGAGACGTCTCTGCTGATACTTCTCTATTATTGAAGTTATCTTCTCTATCGGTATTTCTGCAACATTTCTTTAAGTTTTGTTTTGTGTACTTTTTGTTGGTTATAGGATGCAGAAGGACTCAAAGAAACCGCAGAATTTTACAGTGTGTCACCTGTATGTGTGGAAGCAGTTGCTCATGACATGATGTTGGACACTTCATGGGAGAAAGGTGCAGAAGTTATTCTTTCATGGCTTAAGGGTTTAAACAATTAACAAGAAGGAAAATAGCAGAGGAAACGTTTTGTTCAATTTTCTCATTTTGGTAGGAAGGAGAATGATTGCTTCAAATCATTAACAAGTTTCACCAAGCTTAGGAACAGAGGAGGGTCCAAATAGGAATTTGATTGAACTATATTATTGCAATCCAACTTTTTTTACTTCGCAAAATGTTGCATTTAATAATCATCTCCATGGTTGACCCCAAAGATAATGATTTCCATGGTTTCACAAGATTATATTGAAAGCAATAACTTAAATATAAGTACAATCTTAAATCACAAACTTCACTTTTTAAGTTCAACAAAAAAAAAAATTGAAAGCACTTCACTTATTTATATATAAATAAAATGATAAACAATGAACAATGACATGAGAACAAACCTCTCTACAATGAACTTTTCTCTCAGCCTCTGATCTTATTACTGTTACATCTACACTTAACTTCTGCTATCATTACATATAACAGATTATTTCATTATTAACTCTCACAAGACAATTAATTAACAATAAACTTAAGATTCTTCAAAAAACTTGCTATTAATCCCTGTTCTGTACAGATGCAACTCTGATTCACTCGCGACGCTAATCTCGGTGTTAGCAGGAGCAAAAAGAACATCGCCTTCGGTGATTTCATAAACTTTAGGTGATACTGTGTTCATCGTTCCTTCCCCGGCCGTGACCAAAAAGATCGAAGGACCTGGAACGGCCGGGAACACCACTCTTTCTCCTTTTGGGAGAGTACAGTGATCGATCTCAAATTCCTCGAACGGTGGGATATATTTGTTTACATACGGATTCATAGAAACACCTTGTAAAATCTCAGGAATACCCTGTGAAAATATGAGTTTAAAGCTGGGAATAAAAGCGTGTTTATGCTATAAGAACTTAATGAAGTTGTTTATCGAAATATATGATTTACCTGCTTGTATGTGAGCATGGAACAAAGAGTTGGGACATCTATGTATTTGGGAGTAAGACCGGCTCGGACAACGTTGTCAGAAGTTGCCATGCATTCAACACACTCCCCTGATAAATACGCATGCGGTTCGTTTGCTCCGAGGAACAATGCTTCGCCAGGATTCAGTATTACATGGTTTAGAAAGAAAGCCGCTATCACACCAATATCAGACGGGTATTGATTCTCCAACCGCATCACCAGAAGCTCCTTTTCTGTCAATGGCCTCACCTGATGCAAAACAAGAATATTACGGTATCAATCAATCGTGCTAACTAACTTTATAAGATCAACTTGAAGGGATTAAGTAATCAACTAACCTCGCTTTCCACTTGCAGTCGATTTATCAATCTGTTCACTGCATTGGTTACGTTTTCTTTACTAGCTGACATAAGATGAGTGAACACTGCCTGTAGAACAGGTTTAACCTTCTCTTGATCAGTCTGATCACTAGATTGTAAAACTAGGTCTGCGTTTGCATCACCGACGAGGTCGACAACTTCGGGAACATTATGAATCACAGCTTTAAGCTCCTAAAAAGAAAAGAACAGAAAATTGTTCATCAACTCTAAGTGAACAGCATCATCACAATGAAGCATTAGAAACATTCCGGAAAAAAAATTCTATTTGGGTCAAACTATAAAACTATTCTATTAGTAAGATTTCGGTTTTCAAGCAATTCACAATCGGCAAAAAAAAAACAGAATTAGAACATTTCAATAAAATCGTAAGATATCAAGGTTGTCAAGATCGGATCTTAAAATCGTACGATATAAGATCAGAGGGCTTAATAAGATCGTAAAATATAAGACCGTAACGAAAATCGGAAGATTCTACCTAATTATTGTTTGTAAGATCGAGAGGGGTAGCAAAAGTTAGTATTCTCGTAATACTAAAGAACAATGAATAAAACTTTAAAGCATAATTGAGTACCTCAAGAGTGATAAATCCACAGAGAGCCTCAAAATCTGTCATTGCAAGAGCCATCTCAGGTTTATGATTCCCATCTTTATACACATCAGGGTGTAATTTATGCAGCCTCCTAGCCAATTCCTTATCAGGGTGAGCTTGTATAGACAAAGCCTTTCCCACAGACAACACCTAATACATGAAAAACAACACAAAAATTCATCCATTTCATATAATCTAAACAACAAAAAATCAAAATCAAAAGGATTACACATCAAACATTTACATAGACACCCGATACGACACTGACACTCATTGACATAGACACCAGATACAACACAGACACATGACATAATAATCACGTTTGTCCGTGATATGTCATGACATGTTGGACACTGAAACGTGTCAGACATCATATATGGTTTCAACCAGACACCTTAAGCTCAAATGTTGATGCTACATAGTAAACAACACAAATTCAACCATTTCACAAAATCTAAACAACCAAAAATATCAAAATCAAAGGGATACCACATCAAACATTGACACAAACACCATATACAACACTAACATAGTAATCACACAATTGTCCATGACATGTCATGTTATGTTGGACACTGGGACATGTTAGACATCTGATATGCTATCTCAAATGTTGATGTTACATAGTATACAGCAAAAATTGAACCTTTTCACAAAATTATAAACACCAACTCAAAAATGGATAACCAACATTGTAGATAGAAAAAATGTGTACGAAAGGCTAATAAAACTCACAATTATAACAAACCTTAAACAAGAAAGGTAAATCAGAACCCCATTTCTGAACAACTTTATCACCAAGCAAATCAGGGTTCTTAAAAATCCAATCTTTAAGCGTAACTCTTTCTTCACCATCATCAGAAACAAGAAAAGAAGGACCTGAACCGTGAGTACCAATCCAAAGCTCAGCATAAGGTTTCAATGGATCGAATTGAACCCCAGAATTCAGCTCAGAGAGTTTTGCAACATGAGATAGTTGACCTGGTAACCCCCAATCGTAATTCTTCACAGAGCAATGAAGTTTCTGAAGTGAATGATGGTTTGAACCATTTGAATCTTCCATTGTTTTCTTCTTCTAAGGATGAAGATTTGATTAGAATGCGGAAATGGGTTTGTTATAGAATGAATGAAAATGAGAATTGAAATTGAGATTGAGACATTGATGGTATTTGAAGAGAGAGATGTTCTCGAATGCGATAAATTGAAGTAACTTTTTCTTCTTTTTGCGATTCTTGATTGAGAAATTTATAATCTTATCTTCTTGTACACGGTTTGCTGATGATTGTGTGTGAAAGAACACGAAATTTCATGCACGAAAAGACACAAACGTTAATCTCTTTTGACGAGATTTAGGAACTTTCTTCTTCTTCGTACTAATCTGTTTTTTTTATTTTAAATTTTGTGTTTTGTGATCTTCGATTGATTTTGTTTTTAAATTTATTTATGAAACTTTAATATTTCTTTTTCTAAACATGGTTCACGTTGATGGATTAGTTATTGAATTTAATTGCTATATATTGATACTGTATATTTTATACGGTCAGTTAATTTCAACCATTTATGTTTGAAAATTTTGATTTTAATTTTAACTATTTTAAAGATAATACCAACGAATGAAAATTTATACTGATAGTACATAATAATTAATTTTTTAATTATTTTGTGGACTCAACTAATTTTTTTAAATTATTTATGAAACTTTAATAAGTATTTCTTTTTCTAAACATGGTTCACGTTGATTGATTAATTATTTTGTGGGCTCTACTAATTACTTTTGAAAAATGGATTTAGACCAAATTGCCTTTAGAGAGAGGTTCTTATGATACCTCTTGGATTATTAGTCACTATACATGTTTTTTTAAATGTTTAGTTTTGAAGATATATTTTAAGACTTACTTTTTTTTATTTAAAGGTGAATTTTTAGAAATATATCTTCTTTTTATTTAAAGTTGAATTTTTTTAGAGATATATTTTCTTTTTATTTAAAGTTGAATTTTTTCAGAGATATATCTCCGAAATCACCATAAAACACATATTTTATTTGTTTTTGAATCAGACTATTCAAATTTACAAATAAATTGTATATCTTCAAAAATAATTTATTTGTAATTTTGGGAGTCTAACTAAAAAAACAAATAAAGTACGTGTTTTACGAGGATTTCGGAGATTTATCTTCAGAAAAATTCAATTTTGAGTAAAAAAAATGTGTGTTTGAAAATATATATTTAAAAGTAGAAGACATTTAAAGAAACACACATACTGACTAATAACTCTAAGGGGTGTGACAAGAAATCTCATTAACTTTAATAATAGAAGAAATGATAATGATACAAGGTCAATTGAATTTTTCAATATTTTTAAAATTATTTAAAAGTTTAATTTTACATAGTTATTGTCTAATAGAAAAATATCATTGTTTATGTCATATCAATATTTTAAAAATAAATGTGTAAATTAATAGTGTAAATTTATTTTCTAGTTCCAATTTTCTTTATAATTTAAGTATAATTAAAAAGTTAGGAATAATGACATACTTTGGCGAGTATAATATGTGAATTATTATTTTTTGTTGATATACAAAGTGATAATAATTATAAAATAGTTTTGAAAATTTAAACACATAAAATAGTTTTAAAATCATAAAATGAAGTATTAAAGATTTATTTTCTGGTCTGTCTATTAAAGTAATTCTAAGTAAATTTTTATTAAAATAGTTTTGAAAATTTAAACACATAAATTATATTTTAATGTATCTTATATTCAACGAAAAGTAGATATATTAGTTTTATTTATGGCCATGAAATCAAAACATGATAAAGCGGCAAAGAGATAGCCACGTCTGACGATGAAAACATGTTGAATAAACGTGAATTGACTAAAGTACCCTCATGTGATGTAATACGACACCGTTGGCTGTAGCCAAATCCAAACGCGAATTGACTAAAGTACCCTCATGTGATGTAATACGACACCGTTGGATATAATTTAATAATATTTTCAAAAACAAACTACAAGTCGGAATCACTAAATGTGTTGTTGGTGCATACACAATCGGATTTAAGACATACAATTTATAGATAAATTTATTTACAGTTTGATTAATTTATGAATGATTAATTAAAAAATCAATTCGATTTGATCTAATTTTAGGCGGTTTAATTTAGATCAATTTTGAGATATCGAAATTATAAATTATATTTTTATTAAAATTATAAAAAATATTAACAAATAATAAATTTGATATAATATATTAGAAATTATTATTATAAAATGAGAATGATGGAGTATGCTTGAAAGAAATGTAATATTTCTTTCGTTTTAAAATAAGTGTCATATTTAATACTTTCACATTAAAAAAATGTAATAAATGAATTAGAGAATACTAATTTTACCAAACTATTTTTATTAACTATTTATGTATTTTAATTATCATTAATGTAAAGTGGGAGAAATAGTAAATTAAGAGTATTAATTAAAGGATATCCTTGGAAGATCAAAGTTAAAATTGCATTGGAAACAAAAAATGACACTTATCTTTCAACAAATAATTTTTACAAATGTGACATTTTATTTTGAGAATGCGGGAATAGTAAAAATAAATAAATTAAACTAAATTAATAAATAAAATTAAGGTTTAATACCTTTTTTGTCCTCACCTATACCTCTGAGTCCATTTTGGTTTCCTTTCTTTTAAAACGTCTAATTTAGTCCCTTATGTTGTCAGACAGAATCAAACAAGCCTTTTCTGTCAAATATTTATAAACGTTAGAAATAAGGGACGTGACAACTGAGATGGTGACAGAAAGGACGTGGCAGCTGAGGTGACAGAATAATTTTTTATTAAAAAATCTATTTAAATTAATTTTAACAAACTTTAATATAAAATATTTGGGCCTGAAGCCTATGTTCTTTACAATACCATCCCAATGGTCAAGATTTGTTATTATATCGTGAATAAGTGCTTTATAAACACTCAACTTTGTTGTTGAATATTTGATGTGGGACTTCAAGTGTTCTTTATACTGAATTTAAGCAAATCTCATGAAAGCTTCATAGAAAATGCAGTTGTCAAACATTGCCACTGCAACAAAAGCTACTCCAATAGACATTCACATGGATTTATCAGCTATGCCTAAAGTATTCTCAAATTAACATATTTGCTATCATTCAATTCTTTTCAAGTTACTACTATCAATAATAATCCCAATTCTGCTTCTTCTAAAATCATTTATACATATAGTAATACTTCAACAATGACGACTGGAACACATACTGTCTGCAAGTTACAACATAATATTTCTTGAAAGCATTTAGTACATGGAGATTTAATAGGATGCATTAGGCATGATTTTATGATGGATGCTGGCTTAAATTATCGTTTAGGTTTTAATATTAGTACATGATTGTTCTAGCCTGGGCCCCGACCTGACCACGCGAGCCCAGCCCAATAATGTTCCACCAAGCCCAGTCCAGTTCGGGCACCACATCGGACACGAGGTCTCCGACAAGCAAGAAAGGTCTGCCCCAACTACGTCGGGCAGGAGACTCCCCGCTCGACCAAACACTGCCTTTCGCGGGCAAGACCTGCCCCTCGCGGGTAGAACCCGCATCTTGTCGGGCTGGACGACGTCCTTCACACGTTCTCTACGTGCTCCCCTCCGTGGGGACACGTCACCAACCAACTGCCCACCTCCGAAAGAGCAGGTCAAACCCACTTTCCGGAGATCAAGGGATAGTTGGACTAGGGCGAATACCACGTTCTGGTCTTCACTACGCCACGTAAGCCCTAGCAGTCACCTGGGTTGGGTCTGGCAATCTAGCCCAACACAAGTGACAGTTGGCCCAACGCTGGGGTCTCTCTATAAACACCCTCTTTCACAAGAGGGTCAGGTAATTCACTTCTTACCCCTTTTCTGTATTTGCTTTCACTCTGCCCAATTTCTTACTTTGGCATCAGAGTGTCTTGCAGGTACACCCCCTTCCTCCTCCTCATCACCGTTGAACAGGTGGCAGTCCAACAGCGTGTGGCCAGCCAATGATCCCCTTTTGATCAGGTCAGGTCAATGATGCATTAGCAAATGGAGATAATATTGTTCAGGTTTTAATATTGTTCAGGATTTAATAGGCTTAAATTATTGTTCAGGATCCATTAGTACATGGAGATTTAATAGGATGCATTAGAATAATATTAGACACGATTCTTACAAAATGTTGTTCAAGTTTCATTTTTAATGGAAATTATTAATTATAATTTTATGATGGATGTTGGCTTAAATTGTATTTACGTTTGGTTTTATACCATGATAGCAGCTAAAAATCTATATTGATAAGTTCATTACTTTATCTTTCATAGAAATCTAATGTTACACAATTACTTGTCTGTTTTGATAAACTTCTTGCCAATGTTGATTTACTTGCAGTCAAAACTGATTTAATTTGAATGTTATCAAGTTTTGTGATATAATTGTGATCATTATTATAGCATTTTAATAGAAAAAGGAAAAATTAGAAATGCATTGCTACCTTATTTAACCGCTTATTTACTAGCCACATCATATATTTGATCACTTGAAAACGTGGTTAATGAAATTGGATTACACAATAGTGATGCTTGCTACCTTATCACTGTCTATCATCTTGCTTGTTTTCCTTAACCAGCTAACCACAACATGTTTCTTTCTCTTATTTTGAAATGCATTTTTGGCACAAAACGTAGGACTGATATCTTGAGGACATGAATGCATGAACCTAGTACTAATTAAGTATTTCCACAAAACGTGTTTTAAAAATGGATGATATATTTAATGTTTGAAATTAATTATTAAGAAGAAAGTGGACCGGTGGTAAAGAATTGTGTTTGGCAATCAAGTAGACCAAGGTTTGAGTCTTGGTGTGAGCAAAATGCCAAATAGACCTTGAATTTGACTTTGACTAACGGTTCTATCAGAAAGGACTAACGTGGTTCTTTTTAAAAAGATAAAGGATCAAATTGAAACTTTTAAAAGATAAAGGACCAAAATGGACCCCTAGATAAAGATAAGGGACTAAAAAGGATATTAAGCC